GAATAATAAAGTCCCAGGTGTCACACAAGGTGGGTTTTATACAAACTATATACAGCCACAGTATGCATAAACACGAATAATAAAGTCCCAGGTGTCACACAAGGTGGGGAAGCGTTGAAAAACCTCCCATACTCAAATTAGCAAAGCGTGTGGCTACTAGGAAAAGTGGATGGTTGTAGCTTAAACTCAGCAACTGGTTTTAAAGCCTCATTTTCCCATTCATCCCAATTGCCTATCCCTTCTCATAACTACATACCAGCTGTCAAATATGCATTCCTTATCAACAGTCACTCAAAATAAGATCATTTACATTACTTGTTTGATGCCTGTCCCCAGTCTTTTAACCTGGCAACACTTGAACTGCTATTTTTAAAACGATATGTCCTACACCACAGTTGGTGGGGAGCTGTCTGCTGGTAAAAGCATTATGGAGGCCTAGGCTATGGGCTTGGAAGGCCTATGGTCCAAGTTTAAATCACAGCTGTTTCGTTTATAAACGTGGGACCTTGGATAGGTAATCTAATATCTCTTTGTCTTGTCAGCAATTAAATTTCTACTTTCAAAAGTTGTGATTAAATAGTAAAAATGAACATATGATCATGGGCCTTTACATATATAAGCCTCTGATTTTCAGTCAGAGCCATGGTTATTATATGAAGCATTTCAGACAGTTATTGAATAAATGTCTCAGATCGTAGGAGCCTAGAACTGGAGAGTGTTGGCAGACATTATAAATCTGAAGTATCTTTGTGTGTTTCCCATGTGGTTCATCAAAGAGAAATCAGCCCAACATTCAGTAATTGATTACTTGAAGTTCATATTGAAGTTGGTACCAAAAGCTAATTTTTGGTAAATCCTAACTTTCCTCCTATTTACCTATTTTAATTTCCCTTTGTTCATTGTTATATTCCAGCCCAATGAACTGGTCTTGACAACATAGTAAAGGAAGTAGGCTTAGTCTCCTTGACACAACCAGACACAGTGTCACGGGATGATGTGCTCCTCATGCATATGCAGCACTGCTAGTTCTTTAAGAAATAATTGGATGGGAACGCCTGGGTGGCTCAGCCGTTGAGCACCTGCCTTTGACACAGGGCATGATCCCTGGATCCTGGGATCGAGTCCCACATCGGGCTCCTGTGGAGAGCCTGCTTTTCCCTCTGCCTGTGACTCTGCCTCTTTCTTTCTCTGTCTCTCATGAATAAATAAATAAAACCTTTAAAAAAAATAATTACATGTCAGGACATGGAACCAGAGGCTACTGCCTTTATTTAATTAGGCAAGAGTGAACTTGCACATGCCTGTGAATAAAAAATAATCACTTAATGTAACTGAATATTGATTTTTGGTATGCCCTTTTCCCAATGAGGCAGCATCTGGAAAGATCAAAAGATGATTTGTTCTAATATAGTATGTGCAAAGGGGACCGAGTGGGTGCCACCTCGCAACTTCATTATCAATTTTATTGTGAGACTCAGTTAACAGGCCTGTTATTCTTTTATTGAAATCACTTAAAAAAAAAAAAACTAAGGCGGCAGGGTAATGCAAGCAATGAAATCATTTCCCAAGTGTTCCTTTCCTGTTTAAGTCAGGAGCTGACGTTGGTGATGCTAATCTAGGGCACTGCTGGGTCTGAGGGGAGGAGAGACCTTGGATTCTCAAGAGAGTCATTCCCCTTACCTCCTACACATATATACACTCACACACAAAGCTACCTTTCTACCTCACTCAGCATAACATCACTTCAAAGCCTATCCTTGTGGAACTCTCAGACCAGTCAGGGAACATGTCCCTCTTCTCCGACCCATCAAAATTTCCACCATGTCGGGCAGGGTCCTTTCCCTTGAGGTTAGGGGCTCTTAACTTGGGATCCATAAGAAGTTGACATTTGAGGGCTCATGAGCCCCCTAAAATGATTTCTGTACTTCCCTCAGAGGAGGGTCCTGTGCCAGATATTTTAGGTTCATGATCCAGAAAAGGTTAAGAAAGAGATCTTTTAACTTTGCTCTGATCTTTTTGAGACCAAAGGGTATTGGAAGGAACTTGGTCTTGGGAGTCAGATGGATTTCCATTTGAATTGTCTCCAGTAAGTTTCAGCTGTGTAGCCTTGGACAGGCTACAGAAGCTCTCTGAACCTCCAGTTTCTCAAGTGTAAAACAGAGTGAAAATGCCTATTTTAAGGTTGAAGTGACAGGTACACTAAACAGAAATAAGTGCTAATTTTATTTTTCTCTTTCTTAAATGAAAGCAAGTATCTGTTCTGTTGTGTTCTTGGCCAGATTTTTCTGAGCACCCGTGATGGTGCATTTGAGTGCACAGCAGGCACTCAAATGTTGATTGAATAGGTGGTTGGATGGATGGGGTGCCTTGGCTTAGTACTTAGATGAAATCTCTGTCTCCTTTCTCAAAACATTTCTAAGAGATCTCTTGATACTAAAAGATCTCTCTCTGGAAGAGAGCTTGGTTTTGTCACCACCTCTCTCCCCCGGGACAGTTAGTTCCATGTCCTGTGCAAAATCTGTCCACATACTATGACAAGATTAGATCTTATTATTCCATGCGGCAAACCATGAACTGTGCTGCCTTTGTCTATTTCCAGGACTGGATGGACTATAGCCTGTAGGCCAAACCTGGCCTAGTGCCTGTTTTTGTAAACAAAGTTTTATTGGGACATAGCCATGCTTATTGATTTATGTATTGTCTATGACTGCTCTTGTGCTGTGGCAGAGTTGAGTACTTAAAGACAACATGGACAGAAAACCTAAAATGCTTATTATCTCCCTCTTTATGGAAAAACTTTGCCAACTCCTGATATCTTACTTGTACTCCTTACTGCAACCCTGCAGGATTGGTCATCAGATGCCCCTTTTGTGGATTAGGAAGTAAGACCCAGTTATATATCTTGGTTGAGATCATACAATGTATATATAGCAGGTTCAGCATTCCCAGGAGTGGCCCTGTTGCTGCTGAATGTGGCCTCCACTCTTGTTTGATGCCCTTGGTGGGTGATGTGTGATACCTGGGCATTTTCAATTCAGGGCCACTCAGCAGAGATTTTCCATCCCCCAGGCTGTGAGACTGTGAGGGTTTTGAACCTCATACTTGCTCACTACCACTGCGTGTTCACTGGCAGATCTGACTTCAAATGTGAGCAGAAAGTTCATCCCCAATGAATGAATCCTGATGGATATCTGATTGTTTCAAGGGTTTGCAGATGACATTCTGTTGTTCTTCTGTTAATACTCCATCTGCCTTTTATTACTACTTTGCAACGCTCACCCTTCCAGTTAATTTTTCCAGCTTATAAACTGGTTATGATTAAAACAAAAGAAAAAAAACTTGGAAAAAAATCAGCCACTCCTGCTTTAATTGACTGCATAGCAGTGTTTGCCTTGTAATGGTAGTTAAGCTGGCAGTAACGGTACAATGAGAGAATTCCAGCCCCCTCGCTGGAAGTAACACTGGGTAATTTATCCATCTGTCACAGGATTTATCTAATGAAAAATGGCTGCAGTGTTAATCGATTGTCACGTAAAAGTGGCTGTTGTAGCATTGGGTTGGTGAGGGGAGAGGTGAGGACTGTGAAGGCGAATGTCCTCTGATGGAGTCTGTCTTTGTTCTTTCTTTGTGGCCAGCATTAGGGAGGGTCTGTGACTCTTGCTTCATCTGTCATGGAGCTGCTGATGGAGGATCCATAGAAAAACAGAAGAGCTGCAGGGTGGATAGGAAGGAATCAGAGCTATAATTAACTTTCTGTGTCATTGTGTTCTACAACAGCGACCCATATTTCTCCAAACTCGAAATCCTATAGTCTCACCCCGTAGCTTTCGTACTCCCTAAAGTCAATGAATCTTTCAGTTTATGCTGAAAATATAAAACAGATAAAAACAAGGTTGCTATGGTTTAAGTGGGGGCGGGGGAGCCTGGTAAAATTAAGTAACATCCCATTTGCTATGCTAGTGTAGCTCCATGGGGAAATACTAGGTTGATTAAAATTCTTAGATATTGTTTAATTATTTAGAGTGAATGTTCTAACAGAAAGATGTTTTTCTTTTTGTAGCTCTTCTGGCTTACTCCTAACATACTTTAGTGCCCAGTTATTTTGTTAAGCCCTAAAATATCCAAGTACCTCTCCACATATGTCTTTTTCATCTCTCCCTTGGTACCAGGTACTTTTCATTGGTCAAAGCTGCTGACATTTATATTTCTGTCTTGGAAACATGCTTATCGAAAACCCAAACCCATCAAAAAATTCAGATCTACCTGATGGAAACCAAAAAGCAAATTTAAAAAGTATAAATGATTGTTGAACATGTTGAATTGGAGAAAAATTGACAAGTTAATAGAATTTCCATTTATATTGATGAGGCACAGTAGTGGTGTAATGCATCCACTTTGTTGGTGAGAGAGAAGTATGAGCAAGGCATTGAAATCTATATAAATGGTACTTTCTAGAGTCATTCCCCCCAGATGTCCTAGGTCCTATATTTAGGAAAGAGAAAGGCATGTACATGGACCAGTGAGAGCCCCACCATGTAATAATTTGTGCACTAAAGCAATTGGTTGAGGGTCCTTGTGTTGGCTCTCCCTATAGCCGAGGCAAGTGCTGATATGCTCTCTCTCTCTTTTTTTTTAAGATTTTATTTATTTAAGAGAGAGAACATGAGCAGGGGCAGGGGAAGGACAGAGTAAAAGGGAGAAGCAGAATCCCTGCTCAGCAGGGAGCCCGATGTGGGACTTGATCCCAGGACCATGAGATTATGACCTGAGTCAAAGGCAGACACTTAACAGAGCCACTCAGGTGCTCCTGTGTTATCATTTCTGCACAGATTTTTTTTTGCTGTGTGTTTTTTTTTAAGTCCATGTGCATTTTTATTATTGGTCATAGTTTTTATGTATGTGTGTCACAGCATTTGTGAGTGGGCGTACATAAGGCTTGTATCACTTGACTGCCAGCTTTGCTGAGCTCATATGTTGTCCTTATTTATGTGTTTTGCCAGGGAGAAATGCTTGCTTCCTCTCCAGTTGGCTTTGGAATCCAAGAATGTGAAACTGGCCCAACATGCCTTGGCAGGAATACAGGTATGGCTCTCACTGGGTGCAACCAGGTGACAGAAATTGATAGGCTACTTTGGCATTGAAAGAACAAATACTTAACATTTTAAATACTAGCTGTTTAAAGACCCCAACTGTAATTTGTTTGAACTAGGTAATAACCATAAATGATAACAGATTTTTCTTATATTTACCAGCATTTCTCTGGGTATAGTATATCTTGTGGAGCATTTGTTATCTGATGCTGATTCCCAGCTAAACTCACAGAGAAATGAAATATTTTGGAGGATGTCCAACTTTAGGAGAGCAGAGGATCCCAAGAGAGACAACTCCAGTTCTGTACCAATTAAAATCTTGTATATATTTAACATCTTTGATTCTGTGTAAGGAGAATTAGTAAACTGGAAAGATTTTGTCTTGTTTTCTATTTTACAGTTAGGTTGGTAAATGAATTCATGTGTTTTGTTTCCAGAGCAAGAATGGGATGGGAAAAAAAAGAAATTTGGCCTAATCAGAAATATTAGATTGCTTGAACACTTTCCTTCTCTGAGCATTTGTTTGTTTATATTTTATACTGTATAGAATAGGTCTAATTCCAACAGTGCAAAGGTGATAACTATATAATATATTGACTTTTAAGTGGCTTAGCTTCTAAGTGACAAGCCTGTGGGGTTTATTCAATGTGGCCATGAATTGGTGGCCTCTGTCAGGTGTCTTTTCATATTAGTGTGTACTATCTCATCCTTTAAGTTTCCTTGTCATACATATAAAAGAGTGAGAAGACTATGGCTCTTCTGTCTCCAGTGGGTCGAAATTAGATAATGTATGTTTTATGCATTATCTGCATTAGACATTTTTAAACATTGTCAGTGTTATTAAAAAGTCTTTGCTTTCTTCAAGGTGATTGGGCCAACCACGAATGTGAATGAGAGTTTGTTTTGACCTGCTGTGATATTCCCTTTCTCTAGTATTATATAGATTTCCTACTTATTTTTTTTCAATTGATTGATTTTAGGGAGAGTGTGTGTGCAGGAGGGAGGAAGGGGCAGGAGAGAGAGAGAAAGAGAATCTTGAGTAGATTTCCTGGCTGAGTGTGGAGCCCAATGTAGGGCTCAATCCCAGGACCTTGAGATCATGACCTGAGCTGAAATCAAGAGTCCGATGTTAAACCAGCTGAGCCACTGAGGCATCCCCCATTTATTTATTTATTTGTTTGTTTGTTTGTTTGTTTATTTAACTCCCAAATACTCTAAGCTTACAGAACCATGTTTTCAAGGGCTTACTTTACCATGTTAACTCCAGTGACTTGATGGACAATGAGTCTTACTCTTACTAGCCCCTGTTACTTCCTCTTAACTTTCAGCATGCTTGTAGGGCTTTTTCCCCAAGTCTTTATCACTTTAGGTAAAAAGAAGTTTGAATATAAACTTTAACTCTGGGATGCCTGGCATGTACTGCATGACAGTGAAAAAATCGCTTTTGAGAGGATGTAGACAAAATGTCAGGGAGTCCTAAGAAGTTTTGAAATACTCGATTTCTGGATTTGCAGTGACATTCTGCTAAAAGAGGGAATCCTTACACAGGATAAATCAGAATTCCAAAAGTTCTTCACGGCTGCAAATCTACACTAAATAGGACGAGGACAGATAAATATAAAATCTTACACGAGGGTCTCAAAAATTGACTGTCTCAGGACAGAATGGGAAGAATAGCCTAATTGCTGCCCTTGTGAATGAGAATTAGGGATTTCCGGGTGAGTCAGCATAGAATGTACTGTGACTTACAACTAAGCTCATTTGATCTGAGAATATAATTAAAGTTATGCATTGCTGTTTTTTGGCTTTTGGTTTTAGGCAATAAACACATTTAATTATCTCACATAACTAGAATTCTAGAGGCAGGCAGTTCTAGGTTTGGTGTGACAGCTTAATGGTGCCACCAAGATGCCATTTTTTTTTTTTTTTGTATTTCCCTTCTGCCATCTTAAACATTTTTAAGACTTTTTTTCAAGAGCAATTTTAGATTTATGACAAAATTGAGAAGAAGGCACAGAAATTTCCCATATATCCGCTATGCCCACCCATCCCATTACCAGCATCACTCACCAGAATGGTATTTTTTTTTTTTTAACCAAGAATCAAACTACAACGACACATCATAATCACCTAAAGTTCATAGTGTACCTTAGGGGACACTCTTGGTTGCTTTTATTCTTTAATGTCAGACCACCCCTTAAAGTTTGACATTCCCTCTGGAGGCCACATTTTAAGTCGGAGAGTATCTGTGAAGCCACCTCACTCCAGGAGCATTTGAAGATGCCCAAGGAGGTTTAGTATGGAGAAGAAGAAACTTAGGTGGACTTCACAGCTGACTTCTGATAGTTTAGCTTAGTCCTTGTGGCTCCAGGGAAAGATGAGGGAGTAGAAATTCTAGGAAGGGTTTTGGTACAATCTAAGACAGAATTTTATGGAAAATGAAAGTTGCTCCCGAATAGAAAAGAGCTGTGAGGTGTAATGTCTCTTAAGAAACCTCATAAAAGTGGCTGACTTCTCATTTTGGTTTTTGTGGGATTTGTTTTCTGATGAAAATGCATTAAGATTTGTGAGCTCATGAATACTACTTGGGTAAATGACAGTTCACATTAGGAAGTAAAAAGGTAAATTCTGAAAACTGACCTTGTTGTCTACAAGATGTTCTCCCTTCCTGTGACAAAGCTATGTTAGGAATGTGTATGTGTGAATGTGACTTTTGTAAGGTGCTAGAATCCCCTGGGCACATTCATCCTCCATCCCCACCAACCACATAACCTATTGGTAACCATGTTATTTAGAAAGAATCATTTAATAGCAGCAAAAAGTCTTTGCCCACACTGTTTATGAAAGGTTTGATGTGTTTTTCTTTTTTTTTTTCTTTCTTTCTTTTTTTGTTGCCACGTAGCATGAGTACTTTTCCAATGACCTCCACCTACGTGGCTCCTGAATACAAAAAATTATCCTCAGTACATTCGAAGGCTTTCCCCTGCTGCCTTATTCTGTTGTATCTATCTGTGATCATTGCCTTGTGCTCTTTACAGAAGCTTCTGTCAGAAGAGAGGTTTGTATCCATGGAAACAGACTCTGATGAGAAGCAGCTGCTCAATCAGATTCTGAATGCTGTGAAAGTGACGCCTTCCCTCAATGAAGACCTGCAGGTGGAAGTGATGAAGGTTGGTTTGACGTGGCTGCCAGTTTGCGTCATTGGGACAGGAACAGACTGATCCTCCCCCACCCCTGCCCCAAGCCCTCGTTGTTATCTTGAAAATGCCTCTGTATTGTGGTCATGCCAGCTCCCCCTTCATTTGGAATGTATGGTGGTTCTTGCCTGTGGTCCCCCGGAATTACCTGGATTGTTGAACAGAAATGACAACTAAGTAAGAAGATAGAATTTCAGTAAATCTATATGATTTTTGGTCTGATCCTGCATATCCAGTGTTGCTAGGAAATGTATTTATTTATCACATTTTGAGAGCATGCATGTGAGTAGATCCAGCTTAGGGGAGTTCCGATCATTCTGAGTACTCTGCTACCTGTTTATGATCAAACAGAGCAGTGACTTAGTGATGTTTTCACATATCCTAAGGCTCTAGAAATAGTCAACTTAGGGTCAGGAAGACTATCCTTGGGAACCACATTAGAATCACATCTTTCTTGTCTATTCTCAAATGACATGAACTTTAATCTCCCACATTTCAGTTATTTTTTCGGGGGATGGCATCTCTCCCTCTTCTTTCCCTTTGCCCTCTCTTGAGGATCACCATGACTGGGAGCCCTTCATGCTGACTCTGGAATGTGTCCTATCCTGTGAATGAACAGGGAGCTGAGGAGAAGAGGATGGAAATCTCTCTCCTAGAACAGTACCTCAGTCAGAGCAACACAGCTAGAACCACTGGGCTGGCTTTTAATAATGCCATCTATTCCTTCTCTCCCTGGAGGAATAGGTACAGAGAAATATTTGGGAAAAGTTGGTGTCATATAATGATTGATTTCTTTCCTGGAAATGCACTGAAGGATTTTTGTCTTGGATAAGAGACTTAACTCCTCTGGGTTTCAGTTTCCCTGTTCAGCAAAGAAAAGATTATTTCAGTCATGACATTTTCCTCATGCCTTGCACCTCACCCTAGCCGATAGTATGAGTAATTGAGTGCAGTGATGATAAGCTGAGACTCTGAAGCCAGCTCATCCACTTTCTAGTTGGATATCCTTGGGTAGATTCCTTAACTACTCTGTGTCTTGGTCTCCTCATCTGTAAAATGGGGGAAATAGTAGCACCTGCCCAACAGGACTGTTGCAAGGATTAAATAAGTGATATTTGTAAAGAACTTAGCACAGTATCTGGCATAAAGCAAGTGCTTCAGAAGTGTTAACATATGCCTACTACTTCCTGAGTCATAATCTCAGTGGGTGAGTCTAGGAATATTCTTTTTTTTTTTAAGATTTTTTAAATTTATTTGAGAGTGAGAGAAAGAGAGCATGAGTGGGAGGGATGGACAGAGGGAGAGGGATAAGCAGACTCTGCTGAGGAGGGAGCCCCACATGGGGATTGATGTGGGGCTCAATCCCAGCACCTCAGGATACTGACCTGAGCTGAAGGCAAATGCTTAACCAAATGAGCGACCGGGGGGCCCCCTAGGAATATTCTTAAAATAAACATTGAGAATCCCTGAACTAGCTGGTCTTGATGATCTCATTCATCTTTAACTCTCTTCAATTCTGTAATGGACAGTTTTGCCTTGTCCTCCGACATATGTTTGGCAGCTGTGCGTTCATAGGAACTGAAGACTAACCACTTCTAGAATTTATTTTACTCTTCCATTTCCTCCATGCTGCTCTTGAGAGACAAGGCCAGCTGCCACGGTAATCATTTCTGAGGCTTCCAAGACCAGTCTGCCGAATCATTCTTGTATTATTAGGTCTCCATACGCTGGATGGTGAGCTGTGGTGTCCTACTGAAACACCTCACAGATTTCACATTGCTCTGGAACTTCTCCCAGGAATATACCTTGTGGGGAATACAGGAATATGTATTAAAAATTAAAAGGAGAAAGTACCTATTCTTAAAGTCTTGGAGAAACAGGATGTTTAATGGTTATGTCAACAGTAACACCTGTTTTGAAAACTTATGCTTGCTTGCTACTTCCAGCCCAGCAGTGCCTTCTGCTAGCCTTGCTGAGGACAGCAGTTGACACATGTTAACTCTACTGGAAATCCTGGAAAGCTTATCTTAATGGACTTTCTAATGACACCATGATAAACCATTGGTATTTGTCGTTAATGTCTGGGAAGAGATCAGGCATTGTCAAAACACAAAAACAAACAAAAAAACAAAAAACAATAATGTAGGCTGCCATTCTTTAAAATTAGGTTTCCAGGGATCCCTGGGTGGTGCAGCGGTTTGGCGCCTGCCTTTGGCCCAGGGCGCGATCCTGGAGACCCGGGATCGAGTCCCACATCGGGCTCCCAGTGCATGGAGCCTGCTTCTCCCTCTGCCTATGTCTCTGCCTCTCTCTCTCTCTCTCTCTCTGTGTGTGTGACTATCATAAATAAATAAAAAATAAAAATAAAAAAAAATAAAAATAAAATTAGGTTTCCAAAATGCTTAAAAAGAGAAGGGCCTTTGCCCTATGCTATTATTCTTAACCATTTAAACATTGGGATTGGGAAAAAATATTTCCACTCACAACAGACCTAGCCTTCAGCTAATTTCTTTTATACTAAACTTTTATTTAGACCAACAGTTTTAGCCAAGCATCTAAACAATGAATGATAAGATAATATGCTGTGATAACCACAAGGGAGGGCTCCATGAGCATTTCTTATTTCTGACATTTGGATTATTTGGATCTAAGATATATCCAAATTATAGCATTGCTGGCTTATAAATAATGATAATGTTTATGCCCTTTCTCTATGCAGGAAGAATTTCCGTGGTTACTTTAGTCACCTTCAAAAGTGTGTACCCTTTTATCTTGGATGCTGTAATATTTGTAATGGCCTGAGAAAAAACTCACAAATAAGTCCTTGTTTTGCTGACATCATTAGAATATGAAAATGTTTTTGCCACTTCTCCCCAAAATATAGTTAACAAAGAGGGAATTGGATGAGCTCTCAAGGAAAGGCTGGATTCATTTCATATGAAGGGTATATTTATTCCCGATGCTTCTACATAACTCATTCTCATGATAAATTATCCAAACTAGGAATTACCTGTCAAAATCCCCTAGTCATTTCATATAAATATTTTGTAGGTACGAGAAAATCTTTTAAGGTGAGATATGGTAGGCATTTTCAAACACCACTATGCTATTCAAGAGCGATAAAGGCACACCATGCAGTTTTTATTTATGTCTGTCCAACCACAGCATTGCACATTTTTACGACAAACCCCAGGTGCTATTTTTTAAGAAGTGATGCCATGCATTTTACTCACCTATTGCTATCTGGTAGTGTTTATTAACACGAGAAATTGAACCCTGTCACACTTTTCAGAGTATGTAGCAGTTGTATTGAATTCCTGGAGAGAAAATAATATGGTTTCCTCTTTTAGACATTTCCCTAAGATTAAACTAACTAATAATGAAACTCAAAATTCTGATGGTAATGTTCTCATTTAGAAAGAAGGCCCTAGACTGTCAATTGGAAGGTTAAAGAAAAAAAATATCAATGATGCTTACTCCTGACAAATTAAATAGGAATGAGGTTAGACCACTTAGTCTAAGATCTGTTCTACATGGTTTTACAATCTAACAGGAGGGGAGAAGAGGCAATTTTGATTTATTGAAATGGCCATGGAATCCAAATAAAAATTTTATAGCTTGAGCTGAGCAAATCAAATTTCAGCACTGTAGAATCAGAAAGAAAGTTTTTCTAAAGACAGATTACCTTAGTAATGCATTAGTAGACAGCAGGGAACTACTTAATATTTACGTTAAGCACTTGTCTGCTTTGGTAGCATTTTCCCACGGTGTGTGCCATTTCTGTAAATGCCATGCAGACTCCATAGAAGCCAGCTACGTAACTGATGACATCTCTGACTCAAGCAATTAGGACTTTTTTTCCCCTTCTTCCTGATAGATAACATTTAGTGCGGTTATTAGCTGATACAGCTGGCTGGTCTTTAAAACCGGAGGGAATTATGGCTGGCCTTCTGCCTCCATAAGTGTGTCAGAGATGTGAGCATCCTGAGGAGGGCCACTAGCTTTGTGTTTAAGGAAGGTTGTGATACTGGATACCGAGAAAGCATTTGATGAATGTTCTGGTATTGGATGTTTTACTTTGTATGCACCTTTAGGTAATAGAAATGAATATTGGTGGGATACTGTACAGTTTTTAAAGGGGAAATGACAGGGGCTGATTAATGTTTATTATGCATTAGATGCTCTGGTAAGTACTTTACATTCATACTCAGGTCATACATCTAGTAAAATGGAAGGGCCAGTATTTGAACTGTAATTCAGCTGGAGGCCAAATGTGTGCTTTTAAACAGTGGGCTAGGTCTCTTGCCTTCTGAGTCTCTTCTAAAAGGCATGTACATGGTAGTCATTAGTATCCCCATTCCAAAGATGGATTGAACAGAGAAATTAAGTCATGGGGCGGTAAGGGGCAAAGCTGATAGTGGCTGAGAATCCTGTGTGTTTTTGGCATCCTCCATGACAGTGCATTCTCTCACTAGTTTCAAGACCTAGATTCAAATTTGAAGAATCAATATCTCTTTCCCACCAAATTAGCTGACAAGTGTGTGGGTGTCAAAGAGCGAGAGAGAGAAGGATCGAGATTGAGATCAGGTTGGGGGAAGAGAAAAAGAATGTCATTTACTGTTGAGGTATTTTTATGTTTTACAACAAAAGCCAACCAAACATCTATAGAAAATACAAAGATGAGTGATTGATGGAAAACGAGCTAATGGCTATAGAGCTGGTAGACCAAAGCTTCAGGATGTCCATTTATAACTCTGGCCTTACAGTGAGAAGGAGAGAGTGCTTTTAAATTATGTACCAGCATTGAAGTCAGCACCTTTGTCTGGGAGGAAGAAACAGACCAAATGGAAGGACTGGTTCTAAATCCCCTCAATCATGTCTTGGGCACCTGGGTGGCTCAGCCGGTTAAGTGTATGTAACCGTTGGTTAGCTTTCAGTTTTGTTATAGTTATAAAAATATGTGTAGCATCTTA